ACTTTTCATTTCGACTTTGACCTCCAAAGTCGAAACATTTCGACTTTTGGGTTTTCATTTCGACTTCATGTATAATCCTGATCATCAGGAATTTCTTTTTCTATAGTTTCAAGTCTTTCACCTTAAAATTAGCTGGAACAGCTATCTCTTCTCTAATAACTTTCTTGAGATGGCTAACCAGCTTTTCCCTTTCAATATCTAGGGCGAAAGCATTAGCAGTCGTATTTCCTTTGATGAGACATAGTAGTGATAGGCATGTTTTCGGCTTATATAGTATTCTTTGTGAAATATTATTGATGCAAACTGGCGTATGTGAGGAAAGAGTAAAAAAGAATTGAGACAGACTATATTTGTGAAATTATTCTGTTTCACAAGCCTGCCGTATGATCAGCCACATTGCATCATAGATACAACAATCATCTAATCATTGCGCCTCCCTAACCATAAAGACTCTTCTCATTTATCACCTGACATTTTTTTATATAGGCTCAGATAAAAATGTTAGATTTATAGTTCTGGACCGCATTATTACACGTGACCCTTTCTCATATACATTCGATAAAATAATACTTTATTTATGAAATAAAAATATTGCCGGTAGCCGGCCTACAATATATAAAATTGCGACTATATCGCTACATGATGTGAATATAGATATAAAAAATATAACTAATAAGGGTGTGGACTCGCTTCTGAACTTATCCCATCATTTACTGTATACATAAAAGTTGCTAAACTTATTTTTCGAAACCCTGTATTTTACAAAATAAAAAGATAAGAACAATATCACCTTTGTCTATTAACATCATCATATTTACTAATCTAGCTCCTTAATATAATCCTCAAGTTTTAATGCTTGTCTTAATGTCATTCCATATTACTTAAATTTCCATCCAGTTAGCATGAAAAATAATTGACCGGTGATTTTTTCATCCTTAAGCTTTGTAAAAAAAGCCATCATTAAGACCTAAGTCTTTAAAATCTTTATCATTTCACAAAAATTTGATATGTCTATCTGTTTCCCATCCTTTTATAATATCAGCTGGAGAGAAGGTAGAACTTTCTTCGCTTGTTATTGTGAAAGACATCTCGCTTTCCTAAAAACAAGGCCCATAGTGAGAAAAACTCACTCTCATACATACATAACTTCTGGCATATACTATATATACCTTATTTTGCATTATTTTCTCTGGGAAAGTTTTTTGCAGAAAGTTGGCTGAACTTCCACATACTCCTACATGCTTTATATCTTGCTGGGAAAAAGTTAAGGAAGTATGAGACATGATTAGTATTGTCGTATAATGTCAAGAGTTCTTTGAAAGCATATGCAAATGGAATTCTCATACCTTTTCATATGGAGATCTACCGGAGAGACACATAGTTGGTTTTACGCCTGGCAATCTCAAAATTATAAGTCCCTCAGCCTTTCATAACATATGGTTTTATCGTCAATATTTACTTATAGGGTATGTCCTGGGTTGCATGTAGATCTCCTTTCACATTTTTCTCATGTTTGTTTGGGAAAAAAATAGAGGTAGTTAGCATATATATATATATATTCGAAATTAATATGCAAAAATTAATATGCCATACAAACCCTGCCTGGTGATCAGTTATTACATCATTACGCAGAAATCTGTGCTAAGTCTTTCGAGCCGATGATCACTACTCTGGATTAGTTAGATTGGTAGAGTACAAGCATTCTGCTTGGTCGGCTAGTATTCTATCACCAGCTCTTGATATTAAGGTGGAAATAATACCTTGAGTCGAAGATTGTCTAGCTATAGAAGTATTGGAATATCAGCTAAGTAAATCACTAAGTGCTCCAATCAAATCAGGAATTGTTATAGTACCCACAAAATTCTCGACATGGATATTTGGATTAAGTGAAACGAGCCAATCTATAGCTTCTTTGCTAATATTTTCACATCCTTTCAGATTGAGATACTTTAAATTAAGACATGAACCAGCAATTTCTTTGATAATCATATCGCTAATTTCACAAAATCTAAAACTAAGATGTTAGAGCTTTGGATAGGAACGAATAATATTACAAATCGATGGTTCAAGAATCTCTGTGCAGTATGAAATGTTTAGATATTCTAGATTATGGCATGACTATATGATTTTCCATAAACCTCCATCACCTACTTCTCGAATACGAAGGCTTACATAGTTACCTGATTGATTATCGCATAAATTGAAATACTTCAGCTTTGAACATAATACCGCTATTGCCTCTACTAAATCCTATACTATTTTCAAAACCCTAATGAATTATATTTGGGTATGACTGCACAATGCCTATAATTTTTTCATCCCGAAGTGAATGGTAGTAGGAAATTTCAAGATGAGTTACATCTGAACAATAAACTGGCTTCTGCCTCCCACGTACTAATTTTATGAATTTCTTCAAATAAGAGCAGTCCTTAATACAGTAATTATAATTATCTGGAAAAGATTGCCTGGGATATAAGTCATTTCCCTTTAGCTTAATACGTCTCTATAGAATAGGAACACTGCATCTGTATTATAACTGGCAAACAAATAGAGCAGAATAGAGGGAGTTATCTATTGCTAAAAAATGTAAAACCTATTCCAATAGTTCCGGTATAATAAAAATACTTAATTGCGTCATAAATAATATATGTTGTATCTTTAATCAAAAAAATAAATTAGCCGACCCGCTAGTAGATCACTGTTTCAAAATAGTTTAGACTCTCAGATATTCATTTAACTCAGGATAATCAAACACGCCTACAACCCTATCTTGCCTTATATTCGTGACAGTGATAAAGCCGGTTAGCCTAACATATGTGTGTTCATATTTTGCTAGATTGCATAATGGCAAATACTGTGTTGGATTAGTGGTGAACTTACCTGTGGTCTTGCGCCTATTATTTCTCGATTTTTTAGCCATACATGATAATTTATCCAATTCAATTAATCTGATTAGCAGACATATCTTGATAATTATTTTGCACAAATTCTAACTCTCGTGCTAATCTGTCCAATATTAATTGAAGCCCAATTATATAAACTTCTTGCTGATCTTCAGCTCTAACTCTATTTTGGAATACCGTTTTAATATTCCTTTTTACATCATCTATAATATCCTCTAAACTCACTATACCAGTTGTCATTTTAGTGATTTATTCTATAACTGAATATTTAACATGCCAGAAAAAAATCTAATAATTATGTAAGTACTGACTGAGAAGTGTTTCATATGTTTTGCATATATGTGTCGTTCACTAGATTGCCATTTCTTTGAGCATCTGCTCTATTTCATCATCTGATCTTTCGCGATTCTCCTCCTTAGCTATATGATAATAAAGCTTATATAGTTCCTCTAAACTGCTATATAGATCATTATCTTCATACCTTTTGTGATAATTTTCTAGCCTTTTAGTATATTTTTCTTTCTTAGGAAACATTTTTACTGCAAGTGTCTTAATATAGTTATTCAGATCCTTTTCAGCTCGCAGTTTCTTTAGATAGTCTCCATAATTTTTCGCAAGATTATCATATTTTCTGCCTTTTCGCAATCTGTTTTTATGACTTTAATTTGCGCAAGTTCTATATCCTATGATCAACCATTTTTGTATATTTCTACTATAGCAATAGAAAAACTTTAATTAATGAAAATATATTCTTTAGAATTTTTTTATCTGAAAAAATATTTGTTATAAAACATCTATGTCTTGACACGAAGTTTCGCTTTCATAGCCTTTTCTTCTGCTTTCTCAGGAGATATTTCAGATGCTATCAGGCGTTTATATAATCCAATCTGCCAATAGCCATATGGGAGGGTTCGAATTCCATCAAGTAAGATCCAGCACTTGTTATTATATGGATTCAGCCCTATCTTATTTACCCTCTCCAAATATATTTGATGATCAGAACTGCGAAGCCCATACATATCATATCGGGTTAGCTTCCTAGTCCTGAGACATTCTAGAAATTTGTCATGTCAAAGCTCCCTTTTGACTACGCATTTCTTTACATTCTTTGCCTTTTGGATGCCATGCTTTTTTTTAGGGTCTTCAGAATCTGGATCATTAGAAGTTTTAGGATCATGTCCAGCCGGAAGAACTGGGTACATTTTTGGTTTTAAAGATACATTTTGCCATATTGCTTCTCCTTTTGTCTTATCCTTCATTAGAAATAAGTCACCTGAATAGTTAAGATCAAAAATATTTGGCCTCTCTGCTCAATCTTTATATATGTCTTCAGTTTCTATCCATATTATGAGCGAGTCTGTATCTGTATAAAGTAGCCAGACCTTATCTCCATAGTGAAGCTTTATGTAACTGTACTAAAAGTTGAACATTATAGCCTTGCTAATGTCGAGAATTGCCTGCCCTACATAAATTGGTTTGTTTAGAGTTACTGTGCTTTTTAACATATAGACTGCTATAATTCCCCCTTCAAATGCTTTAAAACCTACATACAATGGTAAACTTGCTAGACGTCTGATTTTTTTATCCTCTTCTGTTTGGAGTAATTCTACTCTCATATGTTTACGGACATTTTTCATCTGTTTACCAAATACTGCATTGTTCTTTAGCTTATAATATATGACTCCAAATTTATCCCCATTTGTCTTGGCTATTTTGCGTTTACGAATATTTTCCTCAATATATTCCTTCATCCATGAAGACTGTTAAAATTTAAGACCACTATGAATCTTTGTAACCTTCATCCTAAACTTTATATATGTCTGAAGAGCTCGATAGTGAACTACATAATTCTTCTTACTAGAGAGGGTCTGGACTAGCTTCTCTCCAGACACATATTTTCCATTTCCAACTTCTTTATCTTACATTAATCTTTCGTTATATAGACTAAGCCAGTTTTCTGAAACTATCTGCTTTTCAGGTGCTAATGGATAATCTGCAAAGAAATCGTGCAAGTGCATTGGGACTTCTAGATCAACTTCTAGTATATAGCCTATTTCTGCATCTGACGCTATGCTTTGGATATCTGGTATTTTCTCTGATACTACTTTACCTAAAATTTCTGTAGGCATGTATTGGGTCATTGCACCTGAATATAAAGCATTCATATCCTCATACATGATCCAGGACTTCACCTTGCTGGGATTATAATTGGAATATTGTGGATTATTAGCTTTAGCATATTGATGACTTACCATTGTCATACCTCTATAAATGCCATTTTCAACTGTTAGATATTCATCCATATCTGTCATAAGCTTGAGTTCTGCCCCGCTACTTTTGTAAAGAGAATCATTAAACATTCCAGGTGCTGAAACATAATGAGAGGAATCCAAGCCGTCGTCTTTCAAGCACATGATAGTGTAGTTCATGAAAACATCCACAAGTAATAGTACGTCTGTTTCTAGATATAGATCATAATATTTCCTAAAATTCTTCATCTCAAATTTTTGCTATACTTTTTATGCATGTTCATAGTCCCCTTGCTTATATTTTGCTAGCTAAGAAGAGAATAGAAGTCTTTTCTAGATGGGAGGCTTGTTCTGTCAAATTTTTCCCATACATTTGTCCAGTCATATGGAAAGACACCCTTTTGAAAAAGAAGCTTAATCTTGTCTATTGAATAGCCTTTCTCAGTAAAATAGTTAACAGTTAGAGGGAATTTTTCAATTTTTCCACCTAAACATTCAACTAATTTATCTAGTCCCATTTCCATGTGCTGAAAGCTATCTAAGAACTGAAGCTGTCCTATGTTCATGGCTTTGTACTTTCCTATATTCTCTGGGATGCAATTTAGCTTATCAGCTGTGAACTTGCTCATAACTTTCATAAGCGGATGAGAGTCATACCCCTGGAAATTATGATAGATAAGTGGCACTTTAGTTTCGAAAGAACCTATACGCAACTTTTTATTACAAGAGTAATGGGTAGTTTCCATTTATATGATCATAATCTTTTACTTTTCGATTAAGTGCACTTAAAGCTTCTCGATATCTTTTCTGTGCCTCTTTCTTTTCAGGATGTTCCTTTTCCATACATGATTCCCATTCTTTGATTTCTAATAAATTATGCTTTGCTTCTTCAAGTTTTTGTACTACCTCTGGTGCTGGTTTTAAGAAAGGTCCCTTGCAAATCCAGCATTCGGTCGCTTTATTATATGCCTTCAAGTCTCCTGGTGCCATTATCATTTCAGCCAGTGCAGACAAATCTTCTTGGATAGCTAGGAGTTCCTCTTTGATTTTGAGAACAAATCTTTCTAGCGCATCAGGTCCTCTATATAAATTGTGACTTATGATTTCATAGTTAAGTGAACTGTCTATTTGAACTATTACATAGCAGTATCCACACGGCCTGTGCGTCTGTAATCTTTCAGTATGGGTTAGCTTCATTTTCTCTTCTGAAGTTAATTTCTCAGTTAGCATTTCAAGATCCCAAATTATTCGATATGGATTTGGTTGCATGCATTTATGATTATAGAAAGCTTTGATACTCCTATTCTTCACCAGCATTTGTGGTCATTAGGGGCATTATTTAGACCCTTTCATTTTGGCAAATGTTTATTATATCTTATTTCTGAAGAGTATATATGAAGACAATATCGGCAGATGTATTTTTGTCCTTTATGCTTGCTATGATTGTACACTAACTTGCGAAGGTCTTTAATAATACAGTAGTGGCTTCTATCCTCTTCCATGATTACTAAAAGATTTACAGGCTTATATTCATCTCCACTTCTTTTTGAAACATAAGAAAGTCTAGACATTTATTCTGGTTATGCACTCATAGACACATAGGCTGATATCGGGATTATTTTCCTCAAATTTGCGATATACTGGTATCGAAACAGGCACTGGTACTGGGATGTCTTCCATGTTGAGTTCCTTCACGAAACTGCTATATAGCCGATGCAGATTTCTTTCTGGATGAACTTTAACCACTTTAACCAGATGCAAAATTCCTAGGACACTCCAACGAAACACCAATCATCATTATTTTAAATATTAATAATTCTGTTATTACGTTTTGGCATAGTTTAGGTAAAGGTATATGGGCAGTAAGACCAATTGGATTGAAATCAGATATCTCTATACTAAATTCTTCTATATATTCGGGGTAAGCATCAGACATTTGGTATATTAGTTAGCTCTAACCGTCACGCTTATATAATTTTTCTTTAATTATTTATTTCTTATGTACCTATCACTTTTCGATCATAAAAACCCTACCAAAGATAGCTTTCTAAAGCAGTTCTAGCTATTGCAAAACTGAAGCATTAACTAATTATTAATCTTTTCGAATCTAGTAATAAAAAGTAGGATGATCGGTGAATATTCTTGCCCATTTCTCTGCAATACCGGAAAGGCTTGTGGAAATGCTAGTACTAGGTCTGAAGGATGTTGATTCCATTGGAAGGCTAAAAAACATATACCTTATTCTGATTGCGAAAAGTCTATAGCCTCTGTTTGTGGACGATGTTTACTACATGTTAGAGATTATTATGTTACCTATGTTACCCGACACTATGATAGACTTTGACGAGAAAGAACTTATGTTAACCATTCTATGATAGACTTCGATCAGAGATACGAGAAAGAAGTTATGAGGAAATAATGGTTACCTATAGAAATACGCTTACAAATCTTAATATTTCTCTTTGTAGGAAATGCCTCATTCTGATAAAATTGGGAAAGGAAGATTATTGCGTTAGTTTTCAACCAAAATAAATGAAAAGATTATTTCGGCTAACTTAAATTTTAGGCACAATATATAATGGGTATTTGCTAAATTTTCATTAGACTTGCTTTTTATATTTTTTCATTAAACTTTTATGATTAATATGATATTTGATGAGCTAGTCTACGCTGAACCCGTTCTTAACTAAGGAAAAGTTAGGACAATTCTACGGATTTTGCAGGGTGACATTTTGTTAGACTTTTATATAAAATATGCTTTTTAGTAAACGAGCCTGCATTGAACCCATTCTTGATTAAGGAAAAGTTAGGATAAAAATCTCGTTAGACTTATTTAACAATTATATTATTTAATGAACTAGCTTGTATAGAAGCCATTCTTGTATATAGAAAAGTTCGTTAGATTTAAAAAGTCACATGATTTTTCATTAGACTTATACTGGGAAATTGGGACAAACTTTCGTTAGACTTTTTTAAACAATATGCTATTTAATGAGGTAATGTAACTTGGGATAGATCCTGATATACATTTTTTCGTTAGACTTATGCTGGGGGAAATTGGGACAAATCTTCATTAGACTTATTAATTCGATATGCTATTTAATAAGTTAACGTGCATAGATATAGAACATGACATACATATTTTTGTTAGAGTTATGATAGAGGAATTAGGATGGTTAGACTTATTTATGAGATAATTAGGACAGTTAGACTTATTTTGGTTAGACTTATTTATGGAGGAATTAGGGCGGTTAGACTTATTTTAGTTAGATTTAAATGATCAATATGCTAAATAATGAGCTAAATCACATAGAAACTGTTCCTGATATACTATTTTCGTTAGACTTTTTTATTATATGTATATAATCGATATATAATTTAGCCAGCTGGAGACTTTAGAAGTTCTTCCAGTATAGTAGAAAATCAATATCGATTTTATGAACCAGAGAGACACACAATGTCAATGTGAGGAATGGACTTCGTCCTTAAACCCCCACATTGACATTGTATTGAGCACACTTGCCTTCACAGTTAAGAGAGTCGAATCTGTTGAACGAGCATTAAATTTCAAAGTAATGACATCTGGAGAGGCTGAAGCCCATAATGAAAATTCTGACGATATGATTGATGATTTAACTCCTCACATTGATACATCCTCTTCCATCATTGCTCAATAATGCCAAACCATTGATAACTTGCGTAATGTCAATGAAATGTAACAAAAAAGGTTGAAATCATTCACATCTACAGCCAACACTTTAGTACAATCATGTTCAGTAGGGTTCCTTAAAATCAAATCGAATCAAATATTTAAGCAATTTGAATTTGATTTGATTTTTTCAAATTGAATTGAATTGAATTGAATTGAACTCAAAT